AAAACCCTCTGGAGCGCAGTTCTACTCTGACACACGTGGGGTGACCATGAGTTGCATTCGACTCAGTGGCAACTGTTTTACATACATATTTACAAAAAGACTATCTAGAAAATGGTCGGTGCCAGGGTACCCGGGGCTGGTGGTGGTCTTACTCTTGGCACCTGTAGGCCTGAAGGATGAGGGAGAAGAAGTTACAAGGCCCAGAAGGAGAGCATTATGACGAGAGCAGTGACTGTCCCTTGAGGTCACAGCTAGTCTGAGTGACTTTGGAGGGAGGGAGCCAGGGAAATGGATGTCTTACCTTTCCTCCTTCCCTCCGTTCTCCTCACAGCGTCCCCTGTTGGTCAGACCCAGTGGAAGCCAGAGGGCACGGGGACCATTGAGGAAATCCATACAGGTTAACCTCACGGGGCAGGAGGAGGCTAGTGGACCTGAGGAGCAGATGGAAGACATCCCTCACAGCTGGCGAGAGAGGCAGAGCCAGAACCTGAATATTGTACTTGCCGACTAACACGACAGATTCTTTGGAACACTTATTCACTCAACAAACATTTAATTTTCACTCTGTGAAAAGCACCATGCTAGGTACTGAGGATCCTGAGACAGCAGCATCTCTCACTCAGTGGGCACTGAAGTATCCAGCACTGTGCTGGGGCGTCCCACATTTAACCCTACAGCAATTGCTGTTGTTAGCTGCCGTTGAGTCGATTCTTACTCATGGCAACCCTGTGTGTGCAGAGTAGAACTGCTCCATGGGGCTGTGACCTTTTGGAAGCAGATCACCAAGGCTGTCTTCTGAGGCACCTCTGGGTGGGTTCAAACTGCCAACCTTTCAGCTAGTAGTCGAGTGCTTAACCCTTTGCATCACCCAAGGACCGCTAAGGTGGGTAGCAGTATCTTCATTTCACAGGTGGGCTGTCCCAAGGAAAGACTGGCCTGCCCAAGGCCACAGCAGCTGATACCAGAGCTGGGACTGAATCGCAAGTCTGATTCCACGGCCCACATTCTTCAAGTGTGCCTGTCCAGGCAACCCCTGCCCACAGGGAGTCCAACTGAGGAGAAAACCTGGACAATTTGTTTCCCATCTGAGGCCAAGGACTAAACAGCATTGCTGCTCTTAGGTGGACAAAAGCAGGAGACTGTGTGGTGGAGGCCCCTGGGCCAGGAGGAGCTGGAGCTGTGCAGCAAGCACAGCGCTACTGTGATCAAGAAGAAGGCTCCATCAGGAGAGGAGGGGCAGGGCGGCCAGGGAGCATGTGGCTCTGGATCAAGACGGGAGATCCTCAGGCAGAACTGTGGTTTAGTTTATGGTGCTACGGAGCTGAGGGCTTGCACATAATGAAAATACAAGGAGGCAAATTTGAGAGGAAGAATCCAGAATGGGGACCATGCAAGAGTTTGAGGTGGTAGCTGGGCTGGAGACTTGATCACACTGTCCAGCTTCTGTGTCTAGGTTCAGCTCCAGACAGCTGGCACGGACAGGGCTTCCTGGTGCTCTGAGCCAAGGAGATGATGGAAGTTATGTAGAGAAATCACACAATCATTAGCCATTAGAGAAACGTATGTCAAAACTACAATGACATACATCTCACCTCGACATTACTGGCTCTAATCCAAAAAACAGAAAATAACAAATGTTGGCGAGGTTGTGGGGAGATTGGAACTCTTACACATTGCTGGTGGGAATGTAAAATGGTACAACCACTATGGAAAATGATATGACGCCTCCTTCAAAAGCTAGAAATCCAGCAATCCCCTTCCTAGGAATATATCCTAGAGAAGTAAGAGCTATCTCACGAATAGACATATGCACACCCATGTTCACTGCAGCATTATTCACAATATCAAAAAGATGGAAACAACCCAGATGCCCATCAACAGAAAAATGGATAACAAACTATGGTACATACACACAGTGGAATACTGCTCACTGATAAAGAACAATGAGGGACCCACCAAACATCTCACAACATGAATGAATCTGGAGGGTGTTATGCTGAGTGAAATAAGTCAATCACTGTATGTGATTGATACACATACACACACACACATATGTATCTATAATATGACACCACTATTATAAAAACTCAAGAAAAGGTTTACACACAGAAAAAAAACAATCTTGGATGGTTACAAGGGAGAGGACAGGTCGGGAGGGGAAATCACTAACTATATAGTAGACAAGTGTCAACTTTGTTGAAGGGAAAGACAACACACAATATAGGAGAAGTCAGCACAGCTTGACCAAGGCAAAGTCATAGAAGCTTCCCAGACACATTCAAATACCTTGAGGGACTGAGGGCTGAGGACCATGGACTCAGAAGACATCTAGATCAACTGGCACAACAAAGTTCATAAAGAAAATGTTCTACATCCTACTTTGGTGAGTAGCGTTTGGGGTCTTCAAAGCTTGCAAGCCGCCATCTAAGATACATTTATTGGTCCCAGCATGTTCGGAGGAAAGGAGAATGAAGGAAGCCAGAGACACAAGGAAAAGATCAGTCCAGAGGACTAACGGACCACATGAACCACGCCTCCACCAGCCTGAGCCCAGAAGAACAAGATGGTGCCTGGCTACCACCACCAACTGCTCTGACAGGGATCACGATAGAGGGTCCCAGACAGAGCGGGAGGAAAATGGAGAACAAAATTCAAATTCACACAAAAAAGACCAGACTTACTGGTCTGACAGACACTGGAGGAACCCCCAAGATTATGATCCCCGGACACCCTACTAACTCAGAACTGAAGCTACTCCCAAAGTCCACCTTTCAGCTAAAGCTTAGACAGCCCTATAAAATAAATAACACATGTGAGGAACATGCTTCTTAGTTCAATCAAGTATACAAGACCAAAGGGGCAACACCTGCCCAAAGGCAAAGATGAGAAGGCAGGAAAGGACAGGAAAACTGGACGAATGGACACGGGGAACCCAGAATAGAAAGGAGGAAAGTGCTGATACATTGCAGGATTGCAACCAATGTCACAGAAAATTTGTGTATAAATTTTTGAATGAGAAACTAAAAAAAAAAAAAACTCCCACACAATATTTGTACTCTGTGTAAAAAGAACTACATCACACTAAATCCAAGTGTGATTTCTGGACCAGCAATACGTGTATGGCCTTGGATCTTGTTAGAAATGCAAATTCTCAGGTACAGAAAAGAGTAAGCCTTCTCAAATAGTAGCCATGAGCCACAAGCATTGATTTTCAATTGGGCTGCTTTTAAAATGGGCAACACTCTAGTGTACATTTTGGTAAAAAAAAAAAAAAAAAAAAACTGTCGCCATTGAGTTGACTCTGACTCATAGTGACCCCATGTGTGTCAGAGTAGAACTGTGCTGTGTGGGGTTTTCGATGGCTGCTTTTTGGGAAGTAGATTGCCAGGCCTTTCTTCCGAGGTAGCTCTGGGTGGACTCGAACCTCCAACCTTTCAGTTAGTGGCCAAGCGTGCTGTTTGCACCACCTAGAGACTGCAACGTGCAGGTAGCCAGAGGCGTTTAAGGAATACTTTTCATTCTCCAGCACAGTGGTTTTCACAGCGTGGTCTCCAGATCAGCAGCAACAGCACACTTGGGAGCTTGCTAGGAAGTAGACTCTCAGGTACATCCCAGACCTCCAGAATGAGCAACTCTGGCGACGGGATGGACAATCTGTTCCAACAAGCCCTCCTGGTGATTCTGACACGCTCTCCAGTTTGAGAGTCACTGCTGCGGGATCCTGGTTTGTAAAATTGCAGGGCATGCTCGGGGAGTCCTGACAACACAGAACTCTAAAGTGAAGTTAGACTTGCAGCGTCCACAGGGACGGATGGGCGGGGGGATAGATTCCCCATGGAAGAGGGCGCAGTATGTGCCAGAACACTGACACCTACAGGGCAGCGCCTTCATGCAGGTTGCAGGCTGAGGCAGTGTTATGGCTAGAACTAGGGGTTAACTCTGGGGCAGAGACTGTGGTTGGGGGGGGGAGTAAAAACGGCTTGGGGGTGGTGTCTGACCTCCTCCAACCCCTTAAGGGGGAAGGAAAACCAAGATCAGCAGCACAAGGCTACATCCCATGAGGCAGAAGCCAGACAAGCCTCCTCTCGCCTCCATCTTTACTAATTCTGACACCAACCGTCCCTCCCACGGCAGTCTCTACTTCTCTGCTGGGTTCAGTAACTCGTTCTAGTGGCCACATAGAACTCACAGACCATACTTACAATTATGAGGTGTATTAGGGAAGTAACTTACAATTCAGGCTCAGGAGCACTCAGGATGCAGTTCTTCCATCAGGACAGCCTCTCCCTGGCCCTAAGTCTCTGCCCAAAGGCACTTAGCTTTCTCCCCTCATGGGCTGGAAAGCCCTCCACACCGTCTCCTGCTGGTCTCTCCTTCCTTGGCGGTGGTGGGCTCCTCTCTGCTCTGGAATTGGCGGCTCTCTCTGGAGGCAAAACTGAGCGATCCCCTTGGTAGGCCACAGTTACCCTATCACACAGTCACCCAGGTGGGAGCTGCAAGACCATGGCTAGAAAGGCCACACACAAAAGTAATTAAATCCACCGCAGCGGGTGAAGAGGCACTCTCAGATTTAGAAGGTTCTGTTACCTAGACTGTTTGCACTGACTCCCTTGAGACACAGTGGTTGCAACAACGGGCTCCAATGTAGCAAGGACTGTGAGGATGGCGCAGGACCAGGCCGTGTTTCGTTCTGTTGTACACGGGGTCGCTATGATTGGAACCGACTCAACCGCACCTAACAACGCCACTTGTACTCTCGTCCTTTTTCCTCTTGCTCGTATAATTCATTTCTCTGACTATAAACCCTGACGGTGCGCTAGGCTTTGTGGGAGACGCTGGGGACGTGGAGATACGCGTGGTTCATTCACTCGAGGGGCTCAGTGTGGAGGGGAGGCAGAGAGAGAAACTGTCAGTGAGCGCACTCTGGCTGTGGAGGGCGGTGGTACAGCAGCAAGCACAGCGCCTACGCCGCCTGGTGGTCCTGGAAGGCGTCTTAAAGCATGGGTACCCAGAGGCTCGTGAAAAGGGACCGGGGCGTCTCTGACAAAGGAGGGGCCATCTTGTGTGTTAAGGAGTTTGGGTGAGGGCGCCGCATATTCAGTGAACAAATAATTGGGTATCGTCAGAACCTTCTGTGCATGGGGAAGAGGCGGGAAGGAAAGCAGAGTCCAGGGAAGAAGAAATGGTGATGAAATCTTCACGGCGTGTTAGACCAAACCAAAACCAACCCCACTGTGGTCAAGTCGATTCCAGCTCATGGTGACCCCATGTGTTACAGACTAGAACGGAGCTCCATAGGGTTTTCTTGCCTGGACTCTTTATGGCAGCAGATTGCCAGGCCTTTCTTTTGCAGCACCGCTGGGTGGGTTCGAACCTCCAGCCTTTTGATTAGGAGTCGAGCGCAAACCATTTGCGCCACCCAGGGACCTCCCTGGGCACCCAGAAGCATTTTGTATTTCAGCTATTTAATCCTCCCAGCAACCCAATGACCTTGTGAGATAATGAATGTTTCACCCCGTGGGTGTGGGCGTCCTGTGCAGTGTCTGAAGGAGGAGATGGTCTGGGGACAATTCTCTGAGCCCCTGGTTCTCAATTCAGACTGCACGTGAGAAGTGCCCGAGGAACTTGTTGAAAGAAGATACAGAGGCCCGGGCCCCACTCCAGGGCAGTGGGCTGGATTCCGGGGCTGGGATCCTACAGAAAGAGGGCTGGAGAGGGCTGGGGAGCAGCGCGTCTTATTGTCGTGAGGCGTCAGAGGGTCTGAGTTTCGAGGCAGCAGAAAAGTATTACAGTTGCTTGACTTTAATGGTGGCGTTTTGTTTTTCTTTCAGGAACGTCCGAATCAGCGGTGTGTATCCTTTTTTCTTCTCCATTTATCTTCACTTTGTAAATTTTATAATGTGTTTTGCTTCTGAATGTTCACAACTTCATTCCCTTAACCAGTAGGTACCGTGCATCAAGCATCAGCTGGGGGGAAATCTTGAGGGTCTGTGTGAAACATCTATTTAGGAAATGCCAGGTTTAGCCCTTCTCAGACTAGCAATAAAACTAGATGGTTTTATTTCATTGTTGTCTCTATGTGCAAAGACGAGAATGAGGGAATGAAAACCTTACAATTCTAGACCCCAGCTCTGGGAAGTCACGGGAAAGTTCCCGAAGCCGCATCATCTAGGTTTGTGAACGGGAACGGTGAGGGACCTATCTCAATCTCCTTCTATTTTTGTCAGAGTTGCCTTGGTTACCCCTTAAGCATCTTCTTCATCGTGGTCAACGAGTTCTGCGAGAGATTTTCCTACTATGGAATGAGAGGTAACTTTTAAACGCGTCTCGCCCTTTGGGGAACCCGTGAGTTCTGGCAGCCAGTTCTAACTTTGTTTCTCCCTCCTTCGCCGCCTTCCCTCTGCACGAAGCCATCCTGGTTCTGTATTTCACACGCTTCCTCGGGTGGGATGATGATCTGTCCACTGCCATCTACCACACCTTTGTTGCTCTCTGCTACCTGATGCCAATTCTTGGAGCTCTGATGGCCGACTCCTGGCTGGGAAAGTTCAAGTGAGTAGTCGGAACTCTCTCGTTAACAAACAAGCCAAAGAAGTAATGATGAGCTTTGTGGTTTGGGATGGAAGAATCTGGGGTGAAGACTCAGGAGTATAAACGCTTAGGAGAGCACTCCAGACGGTGCTTCTGCCATCGTTAGATCTCCCACAGCCTAGCAGAGTGCCTGGCGTTTAGCCGAGTGAGTACAAGTATCATTCACAGGTGTTCTCCTCCTCCAAACAGTTACAACAAAGTTATTTCATCTTGAAATTGCAGCAGGGATGCTCTCTGCCATTAATGACATGCCAGGCACAGAGTTAAGGGCCGGGAAAACAAAGAACTCCCTAATGTATGTCCTGACTGCAGAGGGGCTGGCGCTGCTCAGTGGGCAGAAAGGACACGTGGTACAAGGTAGCTCAGGAGAGCACCTGCTGAGCCCTCTAGGAAAAATTTCCTATGACTTACTGAAGAAGGAAGCAGAGGCTCTTCCAGGCCAAAGGCATGACATGGGCAGAAGGAGGAATGTTTGCTATCTCAAAACAATTCTACAAAAATAACTGCTGGTCCAGACCTGGCCATATATTGTTACCAGTCACTTTGGTTGATGAGTATCTCTCACTGTTTAAAGATACAATGTAATTAGTTAAGTAAAACGAGGCACTGAGTCTTTCAAATAGCTCAAAGATAAAGCGGATCTCTCCCTTCCCTGCCTGCTCTGGCCAGCTCTGTTCTACATTCGCAAGCTATGCAACACAGTCTCAGGCGGGCTGGTGCGCTAAGAATGACCACTTTTATTTACCTTTGAGAAATAGTGTATTCACGACTGGGTTCTTGAAAGTTTTGAAGGAGGGGTCTTTCGTGATGGAGTAAGAAGCGTGTTGCTATTGTGCCGTCAACTTGTGTTCTTTCATTACACAGGACAATTATGTCGCTATCCATTGTGTACACGATCGGTCAAGCCGTCATCTCAGTGAGCTCAATCAATGACCTCACAGACCATGACCACGATGGGACCCCAAATAGCATCTCTGTGCATGTGTGAGTCCATGTTTACGGCCGCTCTAGCCCCCCCGGCACTGGCTGCTTGACTGGTGTTCTAATTTTTAATCATTTTCCTTGAACTTCCCCATGAACGTAGGGAGGCTTTTCCTGTCTCGTCAAAACAATCTAGAGGAGGCTGTTTTCTTAACTAAGAACTGAGTCTTCACTATGTCACCACTGCAGGAGGCATTGCTGACTTTGAGGCGTGGCCGTCCTGAGGACCTCTCAGGTGATGCTTGGTCAGAGGGCAGGCCATTTCTGTTAGATTCCGTCTTCCGTAGAGCGACATATTCTCAATGCCACCACGTCTCCTCAAGACTCTGGTACCTTTGGTTTCCCGTCTTGGGCTACACTTCTGCTTATTTTTCAGTAATTCAGTTTCATGAACCTTTATTCCCAGTCCTGCGTCCTGGGTCCTTGATGGAAAGTGTCACTGATGAACGTTACTCAGCTAGGTAAATTTCCCTTCATTCTGCTGTGACTAGGGTCACGACAGAGGTTCCTGGACAGAGTGGGAGAAAACTATAGAACAAAAAATCAAATTCACAAAAAAGACCAGGCTTGCTGGTCTGACAGAGACTGGAGGAACCCCCAAGACCATGGCCCTAAGACACCCTTCTGACCTAGAGGTGAAGCCGTTCCGAGAGGCCACCTCCCAGCCAAACACCAGACAAGCATGTGAGATACGCAATAACACCCGAGAGGAACGTGCTCCGTAGAACAGTCAATTATGCGAGATCAAAACTGCAGTATCAGCTCAAAAGCAAAAATGAGAAGGAAGGAGGGTTAGAAAATCAGGACGAAAGGGCAGAAATGGGGAGAATGCTGACCCATTGTGGGGAATGAAACCAAGGTCACGAAACACTTTACGTACATTCTATCCAATGGGAAACTAATTTGCTCTGTAAACTTTCACCTAAAAGCACAATTTAAAAAAAAAAACAAAAACCCGTCCTTGCCTAGCGCCCTAGTTGTGAAGATTTATTTTGCGTCCTATTCTTGTGCTTAAGTGCTTGATCTATGGGGAAAAGTCTCCTGCGGGAAAATATAACTGAAATGCAGATTAGTATCTGTGATTCCCCCGGTTCTGGCTTGTTAGTACATCAGACTGCTGTCTAAACTAGGCCCCTTGATGCAGAAAGCCCCTGGATCCCACAGGGCACTGTGTTGGTGGAGGGAAGTGGTTCTGAGCACAGTTGGCTGAGCCCGCCATGTCTGACTGCCAGCTCTCCCGCAGAGCAGCTGTGTGACCCTGGGCAAGTTATCTTCTCTGCCTCAGTTTTCTAACTATAATGAGTAAGAGCGTGGTCTTTGGAGCCGGGCGATGTGGGTTCAAATTCCGGCTGTGCCCCTTACTGGTTGTGCGAGCCTGGGCAAGTTTCTTAACCCCTGTGCCTCACTTTCCTTATTTGTAATAGTACCTACCTCATATAGGACTGCTGTGGGTCAGTCCAGGTAAAGCCCCTACAACACTGCTTAGCACGTGATAAGAGCCCAATAAATCTTAGCTACTTACTTTATTTCATGAGTTACTATTGGAGCATGGCTGAGATCCTCACAAGAGCGCGTGGTACATACTATTAAATTGGCCATGTTTTTGTTATCTTTTAAAATGTGTAGAGTAACGTGGGGTCCTTGTGTGGCACAAATGGGGAGGTGTTCGACTACTACCCCAGAGGTTGGTGGCTGAAACCCACCCAGAGGCACCTCTGAAGACAGACCTGGTGAACTGCTTCCCAAAGGTCACAGCCTTCAAGCAGTTCTACTCTGCATATGTGGGGTTGCCATTAGGCGGAATCAACTAACAACAATGGAGTGACAACGTTAAACATGAGTTGTATTACGAGGCAAACAAAATTAATACCGGAAGGAAAGGATGGGTTTTAAAGAGCTCTTTCTCTGTGCAGTATCCTCCTTGACTTTTTGTGTTTCATGGAAGAGTTTTCAGTATTTTTAAGCAACAATGGCAGGCAAGATGATACAAAACAAAATGCTTGCAAAACTTTAAATTTGCAGTAGCTAACTGTAAAACTAACACAACTACAAAACCAAGGCTGATAAACTCTAGGAATAATTTTTTTTCTCAATTCAGGAAGTGAAATACTTAACAGATAACTTGGAAAATACAAAAGTGAATTAAAATAATCCTTACTCCCACCACCTAGACATAACTATAAACCTTTTTCTATACTTCCCTCTAGTCTTCTGCACTTTGTAAACAAATCAGATCGTGCTACATAACCTGACGTTCTGCTTTTCAACTAAACCGTGTTTTTCAGCATCAATTCTTCACCGTTACCAGCCTGTTATAACTGTACCAGAGACAATGCTTATATTTGTTAATTAATTAACAACAGATTTGTTCATCTGTTTACTGGATAATGATAAGGCTCAAGAGAACTCCATACATCAATCTCTGTTCGGACTTCAAGTTACTGCCATGAATTTTCTAGATGGTAAATTATTAGACAAAGGCACGATCTTGAAGGTCCATGAATTCAAGTTTTTTTGAACGATCGAGTCTGCATTTCCTATAACTTATCTTCCTCAGAAAGTTGGGGGCCCTTCCCTGTGTCTGCCACTGCCCCAGGTCCTCTCAGGGAAATGAGGGAAAGAGAAGGCTCTGCTTTTAGGATCTGACAGTTGGACAATAACTCCTTCTTTCCCCAGGGCGTTGTCCATGATTGGTCTGGTCCTGATAGCCCTTGGTACGGGAGGAATAAAGCCGTGTGTGTCTGCATTTGGTGGAGATCAGTTTGAAAAGGGGCAGGTAAGAACATGCGCCTTCACAAAAACCACAGAAATGGAATCAAATTCCAGTGACTGAAAAAAAAAGATCCCAAAATCTGTTCTCCAGTTGGTTCTTTTCAAGTACGCTTGAACGAGCAAAGTCAGATCATCCTTACATTTGATCAGCTGATATACAGGCAAGGTGGTTGTACTTTAAAATTATCCTTTTCATTACAGGAAAAACAAAGAAACAGATTTTTTTCCATCTTTTACTTGTCCATCAATGCTGGCAGTTTGCTTTCTACGATCATTACTCCCATGCTCAGAGGTAAAAACAAAACAAAACAAAAAAAACCTGAGAAGGACTTCTGTTTCGCTTTTTGAATTGTGGGAAAGAAAGCCAGGTGAAAACATTAAGTCTTTGTTTTGCGTGTTTTGCTTTGCCTCTCTGGCTGCTCTTCCTTGATGCTTCAGCCATCTGACACGTGGTAGGGTATACACTGAAATCCAGAATATGAGCTGCTGTTTTGTTTTCAAGTTCTATTTCCTTTTCTAATCTTATTTGAGAAGGAGCCCTGGTGGTGCAGTGGTAAGCACTCAGCTGCTAACCAAAAGGTTGGTGGTTCAAACCCACCAGCCGCTCCTTGGGAGAAAGCTGTGGCAATCTGCTTCCGTAAAGATTACAGCCTTGGAAACCCTATGGGGCAGTTCTACTCTGCCCTGTAGGGTCACTATGAGTCAGAATCAACTCCATGGCAACAGGTATAAATTTTATTTGAATCCCTTAACTCAATGAACACTGCGTAGTCTAAAACATCCTTAGCGTAGTATTCGACTTACAAAAAAGAAAAATATTATTAATCCAAAGTCCTTAGTCACAGCAAGAGGTAAGAGTTGAGAGACAGTATCTGGAAACAACACTCGGCTGAGGCTGCAGCTGATAGTTTCGCCTTCAAGCTTTGCTCCCCCGTGATGCTTCAGTGAGTCAGGAAGGATGTGGGGAGCAAGGTTTTATCCTTTGCTTTCCTACCATCTCAAGGGCTTCCTAAAGAGATGTTCAGAGAAACAGAATGAGATCGTAACAATTGAAAGTGCTCAGATGTTTGTGCTTGCTAATGCTCCACGCAGTCTGTGAACTTCTCGTGTGGAAGATACTACTAGGGGACAAAAGAGCAAGACCATGGTGCTCTCACTGAGGATCACGTTTATGAAATACAATATTTTATAGGGATTACCGAAAGGTTAGTGTTTCGAACCCACCAGCAGCAGCTCAGGGGGAGAAAAGACCTGGTGATCTGCTCCCATAAATATTACAGCTTAGGAAACCCTAGTGGGAGAAAAGACCTGGCAATCTGCTGCTGTAAAGATGACAGCCTACGAAACCCTATGGGGCAGCTGTACTCCATCCTACAGGGTCGCTATGAGTCAGAATTGACTCAACAGCACACAACAACAACACGTATTTATGCATAAAGTACTAGTTTGGAGACATCGCTTAAAGTCCATTCCAACTTATTTTATGTAAAAATTTAGTAGCTTGTATTCTTGTATTATGTTTCCTCACCTCCCCCCTGGACAGTACATGCTAGAGTATGTGCTATGTGTGTGTGAATTATAGAATTTGGTAAAGGATTCTTTTTTAGAGGTAAAATCATAACTCCCAAACAAATACATACTGAACGTGTGTCAAAGATTTTATTTAACTCATTAATTAATGAGGGAACTGGAAAGCTGTTATTGTCAGTTCAAATAAGGATTTGATTTGCAGACATTATATTCTCTGCTAGGAAAAAAAAACTATTCTGCATTGCCATAAGCACTAATCATCTGCCTGCCTGTCTCCTACTAATTAACTTCTTTCTCTACAACATTGTGAAATAAGCTAATCAAAGACAAAGTCAAAACCCCTATAGGATCAGACAATCTCAGAGGTCCCAGCATTCCATTGAAAGGATAGCCAGTAATCTCTTTTGCCTACTCCAAAGTCTTATTTTTTTACAAATCCTAGGATTTCAGAGCTAAAGTAGAAAGGTCAATCAGCAATCTGGACAGAGTCGTTTATTTATAATAACTGTTTTCACTCTACAAAGGCATGGTTGAGTAGCTGTGAAAATGACTGAATGGCCCCCAAATGGCCCCCAATGCCTAAAATATTTCCTGTCTGGCCCTTTACAGAAACGTTCGTAGACCCCACCTGTCTTCCTGTTATCTAGTACTGCTATAACAGATATACCACAAGAGAATGGCTTTAACAAACAGATTTATTCTCTCAAAGTCTAGGATACAAGAAGTCCAAATTCAGGGTGCCAGGGGAAGTCTTTCTCTCTGTCGGCTCTGGAGGAAGGTCCTTGTCATCAATCTTCCCCTGGTCTAGGAGCTTCTCAGCACAGGGACCCTGGGTCCAAAGGATGCACTCGCTCCTAACTCTTGTTTCTTGGTGGTATGAGGTCCCCGTGTCTCTCTGCTTGTGTGTCCCTCTTTTATATCTTAAAAGAGATTGACTTAAAACACAATCCAATCTTGTAGATTGAGTCCCGTCTCATTAACATAACTACTGCTAATCCCAACTCATTAACATCACAGAGAAAGGATTTACAACACATAGGAAAATCACATCAGATGACAAAATGGTGGACAATCACACAATGCTGGGAATCATGGCCTAGCCAAGTTGACAGATATTTTTGGGAGACACAATTCAATCCATGACACTGCACTAGGTCATCTAACTGTTTCTTAATTAGCTCAAATTCAGGAACATACAATCTTGATTTTTCCAGTGCAGTTTTGATTCTACCTACTGAGTCCCAGTATCTCCAAGTTACTGTATCCAGGTCAAATTTATCTCCTCCACTAACAAAATTGACAGATCATAACGAGGCACACTGATTTTGGCTTGGCTAGAGTCACACATCTATTTAGGGGCTAAGATTAGAACCTGTCTCTGTCTCCTGCTCTTTCTACTACGATGCTATTTTGCTCAGCTGGCACTGACATCAGTGAGGCAGATGGATAAGTCTAGAATATTAAGTGAAAACAATATGCAATAACCAGTTAAGGATTTTTTCAAAAACAGGAACTATCTGAGCATTACCAACGCCATAATCAATTCTAATCATGTAATTTCTCCCCAGTTCAAGAGTGTGGAATTCACAGTAAACAAGCTTGCTACCCGCTGGCGTTTGGGGTTCCTGCTGCTCTCATGGCTGTGTCTCTGAGTAAGTGGAAATCAGTTAAACTCATCTATGGTCAGATCAGGCCCTGCCTTAATTACTGTCACTGATTTTTTTGAAGTCCATGTAACAAACTGTAACAAAAGTAGTATAAAGAACTGCCATCACAATAACTGATCTCTATTTGCCTGGAGCAACAGAGGAAGAAGGAAAGTCAGTAATAGGAGGAGGATATGGAATGTGTGGCTCATTGCCTCCATGAACAACTGCCTCCTTTGCCATGAGACCAGGAAGAACTAGTTGGTGCCTGGCAGCTATTACTGAAAATTTTGATCAAGGATTCTATAGCGGAATCCTGATCAAAAGGGGGAAAATGCAGGAAAAAAATTCAAATTCCAACGGGCTCCAGAAACTCTGGATGAACCCCCAAAACTATTGCCTTGAGATAATCTATAAACCTTAAACCAAAAATATCCCCTGAAGTCTTCTTAAAACCAAACAATAATTTAGCTTAACTAGTAAACAAAAGGCCTGCCTTGAGCATAAATGCTCTTTAAAGAACTATCTATATGAGAGCAAATTGACAACAGCAACTGTAAAGATTAGATAGGAATCCTGGGGGCAGTAAATTTATGTTAATGAGGGGGGAATGGCTCAGAAAATGAGAGTGATAATGGTTGCAGCAACTCAAAGAATCTAATCAATGTCACTGAATTGTTTATGTAGAACCCTGAATTGGTGTATGTTTCGCTGTGTCTATTCTCAACAACAACTAAATAAGTAAACAAACAACAATTGCCATCAGATGTTTAACAGGCTCTGAGTATTCAAAGAGTTAGCACATCTATTGAGGGAAAGGGAAACAAAAAAGATTTACAGAAAAAGGAAATGACAGAGTTGGACATTTGAAGGTTTGATGCTATTTGGGCAGATTTGGACGAAGGAGATATCATGTACTACACTAGATCAACCCATGGCTGAACGCTATAGTTTGCAGGAAGAAACTGTAACCTGGTTTAATTGTCATTTATATACTTCCAGTGAACGTCTAAATTTCCATAATGTATCATCTGGAAATCTTTCTACCAGTACACCTCCCCTCTGGAAGGAATATATGCGTATATTACAAAAAAAACAAACTCAACCGCCGTCAAGTCAATTCCGACTCATAGCGGCCGTATAGGACAGAGTAGAACCACCCTGCAGGTTTTCCAAGGCGTGCGTATACCGGATGCACTAATTTGCACGCTACTTCTCCACGTTGGCTTTTTAGGAAATGTGAAGAGTTTTCCACATGGGAGAGAGTCTGACTGGAAAGCTGGCGGCACAAGAGGGAAAACAGAAGCCAGTAGCCAACTCAAGTTTTCATAGCCTCTTCTCCCACCCAAATAGAGTAGCTGTCAGCCACTGTCTTTATCTGGGTTTTTTTTCTGTTTTAATAGCATCGAGCAGGCCCCTTTTAAATCTCTTTTGCTCATGTTTTAGCAGTTTAGCTTTATCCTTACATCTCTGTTGAAGCTCAGTATTCTCCCCTTTTTATATATGTCCATTTTCTTCCAAATACTGCCACATTTCCCTAGAAGGCCACGTGCACCGTCTTCTCCAATTTGGGGAAGCAAGACAGACAGCACTTCAAAAAGCGTTGTTCTGTACCAGATACCGTATTAAGTACTTTAGGTAAATTCTCATTTAGTCTGTATAAGTCATTCTTACATCAAAGGTCATGATTTTTCTTCTAGATAAATAAAAAACAGGCCAAATCCTGTGTATGGGTCAACGCCACCTCTAAAATTCCTACGTGCAACAACCTTCTGCTTAAATTAGGTTTTGGTTAATTAGAAGCTTAAATATTAAAATAGTAGTTGGCAAAAAAATGTAGACTTAATCTCTTGGGCATCTTCTTGCTCTGGGCAAGGATATAGGTAAACTATTTCTTCAACTATAAAGAACTATCTATAATACAGGAAATTCATGGAGGTGTGCTTGGGAGTTAGCTCCTGTCAAGTCTCATTTCAAGGCCCTCTTAATTGAAGAAACACATAGAATTTAAACTATCCATCAGTGTCTTTAAATCATTGAATTGTGATATTGATCATCAGAAGTCTTAGTAAAAGTCCCCAGCAGAAATACTTTTTCTAAGTAATTTTCACAACATGCCTTTTGTAAAAAAGGTCCATGGAAGAATCATCTCCTTGAAAAAGCATTTTTCACTTCTGTAAAACTGTAGCTGGAGATACAATTAATTATAACTATGTTCCTGTACAATGACTAGAGAATAAATCCTGCCACATATGATTAAGTAAAAGTTTTAATAGGTTAATTCCTATTTTTTTCTGGATTAAAAAAAAAAAAAGCTTTCTCTTACCATATCAGCCAGAATACTGGAGCTATGTTTACTGTCTTTAGACAGTAATTCATTAATCTGTTATGTGAAAGCACTCATTCTTTTTGTATCCCTTTAAATAGGCATAGAATTGGTGCTTAAATAATTGGACCAGGTGTCTATCAGCAGTCCCAAGCTCTGGGAAGTAGACAGTATCAGGCGTAAATGTTTGTATGTTAGAACATAAATACATGACTCAGAAGTTCTTCTGATTGTTAGTATCAAAAGCAGTTTGTCAACTTTTCTGAATCTCCAGAAGCCTGTGGGGTAGGTAGGTAAACCTATTCTACAAGTAATCCTAGTATTTCTGCAATGAGGTTATAACTCCAATAAAAGCATGACTATCTACAGTAAGGTCACAGGACAGGTCTGTCAGACACCAGGTAATGTGTCTTCTCTTGCTCTATCTAGTTGTGTTTGTCCTTGGCAGTGGAATGTACAAGAAGTTCAAGCCGCAGGGCAACATCATGGCCAAGGTGGCCAAGTGCATTGGTGTAAGTATTTCTGTAGTTTTCCCTCGATGACTTCCGATCACTGCAGAACTTCCTACCTCCTTTACATTCAGATTCAATGTGGCTTTGACTTTCCTTCAGACACGTTACCTGCAATCTTAACTACTTTGATGAATTGAAGTTTCTGACGAGACTCACCAAATGCAAAGTGTAAACAAAGAGCACAAACATAATTCAGAGAGGGAAGAATAAAAATGGGTCTTGAGATTATAAAATACGATCAATGATCAGGGGAAAGCAAATCAAAGTGACTCTTCACCTAGCAAACTGGCAAATAATGGCTGGTGTCTGTAAGGGAGTAGTGTAATAACACAAATGGGGAGGCTCAGCTTGTCAAGAGTCTGAAGTGTATCAAGACTAAAGTGTTCAAACACTTAGGGTCAGTAACCCTATTTCTAGGAATTAAAGCTAAGAAAACAATTTTTTAAATGAGCACACAAAATGAACACACCTCACATGTCGATCATCACTGTAGTATTTATAGCAGCAAAATGTTTTGTACACTGTTGTTGTTGTGAGGTGCCGTCAAGTCGGTTCCGACTCATAGCGACCCCATGTACAACAGAATGAAACACTGCCCAGTCCTGCCCCATCCTCACAATCCTTGCTATGTTTGAGCCCCTTGTTGCAGCCACTGTGTCAATCCATCTCGTTGTGGGTCTTTCTCTTTTTTGCTGACCCTATACTTTACCAAGCATGATGTTCTTCTCCATGGAGTGGTCCCTCCTGATAACAAGTCCAAAGTATGTGAGACCAAGTCTTGCCATCCTCCCTTCTAAGGAGCACTCTGGCTGTACTTCTTCCAAGACAGATTTGTTCATTCTTCTGGCAGTCCATGGTATCTTCAATATTCTTCGCCAACATCATAATTCAAAGGCATCAATTCTTCTTCAGTCTTCCTTATTCATTGTCCCGCTTTCACACGCATATTAGGTGACTGAATGCTAAATTCCTAAAAAGATGAGAATGACGTTTAACTTACAATACATCTATGGTGTATCACGTAGCCATCAGAAGTCATGTTTCAAAGAATATTCGGTGATAAGAATGTGCAGAATACAATTTCTTCCACATGCATCTACATGGTGTATGTGCATACAGGGACATATTTAGGCAAGAAATAAAGGTTGAGAGTGGAAATCTTTGGAAAATGGAATCAAATAACAGTTTTACCTACATATTTTCCATTTTCTTTAGTAGAAAATGATGTAATAATATACATTTTATAATCAGGAGAAAATACGTCACTTATCTATAATAAAAAAAATACATGTGTGAATAATCTTTTCAGCGAAAAGGCAGCCATAAGATAATTTTAGGAGCCCTGGTGGCACATTGGTTAAGCGCTTGGCTGCTAACCGAAAGGTTGGTGGTTTGAATTTTATGCAGCCTAAATACCAGCAGCTCCCTGGGAGAAAGACCTGGCTGTCTGCTTGTGTAAAGATTTACAGCCTTGGAAACCCTATGGGGCAGATCTACTCTGTCCTATAGGGTTGCTATGAGTCGGAATCCACTCAATGGTAATAGGTAAGCTAATTTTAGATGACTTACTTGCTGTCTACCTGGCTTTTGAATGTATTAAATTATACAGGTATTCCTCACTTTGTGAAGTATGTACTGAGAAGTCTGTGTCCTCTCCTCCTCGCCAAAATATTCCCTTCATTTGCAACTATTCCCTTTTCGTCCTGCACTTTCGACTCTAAGATCAGATCTATTCCCACTGAAAAGTTTTTCCCAAGTTAAGAAGGGACCTTACCAGTCATCTATCCAATTCCTTCCTTCACAAGTACTTGACAACTCAGTTCAGATTCCCAAAGAACAGCTTCAAGCCATTTAGAGTCACGAGAACCGTTATCGCTAAAGTCAGCCAGGAGCTTAGAGTTACTGCCTTTTAGTCACACGTTCTCACCACCACCATCGCCTCCTCTCGCTTCTCTGAAAGGCCGAAAGGCCGCTCGCTAAACAACACTAGCAAAGAACCAAACCTGCTGCCATCGAGTCAATTCCGACTCACAGCCACCCTACAGGACAGAGGAGAACTGCCCCACAGGGTTTCCAAGGAGCGCCTGCTGGATTCGAACTGCCCACCTTTTGGTTAGCAGGCGAGCTCTTAACCACTGCACCACCAGGGCTCCAACAAAGAGCCAGTAGCCAACATATTTTTCTGACTAGTGTTACCATTCTTAAAATGTTGTTTAACTACAACCTTTGTTCTCTTGTAAATACATTTCTACGTAGTGCCTTCTCTTTCTGTGGCCACAGAGCACTTATTACAGAAATGCACTATCTAGTACGGTAACCACTGGCCACATATGGCTCTTGAGCGCTGGAAATGTGACACGTGCAATTGAGGAACTGACTTTTACATTGTATTTAATTTGAATTTAAAAATGATACTCAATTCACCTACTGTAAATCTTTCAGTGCGTCTGCAACAATTTAGCTATGTCAATCTTGTTTTTCAAAGGTAAATTCTATGCAGTCTAAATACAGATAAAATATTTCGATAAAAATTTAGCATCCAAATTGCGATGTGCTATAAGTGTAAAATACACCCTGGATTTTGAAGACTAAGTACGAAGAAATGATATAAAATGTCTCATTAATTTTTTTTGTTGACTGCATGTTGAAATGGTGTTTGCAGTTTATTGGGATAAATAAAATATATTTAAACTTAATTTCACCTACTTTGTTTTTACTTTTTAATATGGCTACTAGGAAACTTAAATTACAAATGTACCTGACATTGTCTTTCCAGTGAACACAAGTAGGATCTGAAGAAGAGGCAGTGACGCTTCTGACTTCATTAGCCCCAGCTCAAACACTCCTGGTTAGAAAGAAACCAGGAATGAATGCATCAGTTATGCCTTTTGCCATGCTCATTATAGGAGCATATAGAAGATTTTATATTTTGCTTTTCTCACACATTTTTATTTTTCCATTAAAAAGAGCTTAATTGCAATGTACTTCCCTGTACTTGATACTGCTTTAAAATTATATTTTTCTTCCTTCCTTCAGTTTGCCATCAAAAACAGGTTTAGGCATCGGAGTAAGGAATTTCCAAAGAGGGAACACTGGCTGGACTGGGCTAAAGAGAAATATAATGTAAGTAATAATTACTGTTAAATGGCCCCGATTAATCTCCCTCTAGGAAGTGAAAACCCGGAGTCTCAATCCACAGTATTTCGTGTACATGGACAAAATCATCCGTTTTACCTTCATAACATTTATTAGCATTTTAAATACTATTACATGAGAGCGTATTTTTATATTGAGAAGAACTTGATAAACAATGGGCATAATTTATCTGGAAACAGTATTATCTATTCATAGGTTTTCATTCTGCTGAAAACCAAAACCGAACCCATTTCCACTGGGTCAATTTTGACCTCTATTCTGTATAGCGTACCACTAATTAGATGTAATTGCAATTTAATCCGAATGCAGAAGAGTAAGTTATGGGGCAGGTAGTAGTGAATTCTAGTCATTTTACCTCCTAAATAGATGTTTTAATTCCTATTTTGGATGCATAGCGATCTTTCACTTTTCGAAAAAAACCTGTGGTAGGGTTCTTTGGAACAATTAATCACCTCCCAGTTTGTCTCGAGATGCCGATATTTCTACACTGAAAACTGAGCAGAGCGTGGTAGCTGTGAGTGACACAGTGGTGGCTGATCTGTCCCTCCTCCACTCCAACTGCAGGACCGGCTTATCTCTCAAATTAAGATGGTTACCAGGGTGCTGTTCCTGTATATTCCACTCCCAATGTTCTGGGCACTGTTCGATCAGCAGGTAACGTGAAATGACTTTTCTGTACTTCTTCATTTAGCAAACCTTCTTTGGGCCCTTCCACGGACCAAGCAGTGTTAGCACTTAGCTCCTAAAAATGTTACCTTTGGGTTTCTTTTAGGTATTTCTTTTATTTGACAATTGTTAGATCATATCGAGTTTCTTTTTAAAACACCAGTTCTAGATGGTCCTATCTACATTTCTGTTGCAAGGCAATGAAGAAAACTAGGTGTGGTCAAGTAAAGTAGCCTTGGGAAAGATTTGACCACAGCTTCCAGGAACTGTTGCCAATCAAAATTGAAAGTGAACAGTTTGTTTTTCGACTGATGCAGCGTGGTAAAAAGGTGTATTGCCTTTTAGGGAGCCAGAGAATATTTACACTGGGAAGGGACCAATACCTTCCACTGTAAAATGGGGACGTTTGGGCTGGGGATGTGAAATGACGCCTCTGAAGTCATCCACACCAGAGTAGTGAACCAAAGCCCAGATTTCCTGACTTAGTGCTGTGGTCTTCCTGCCACAGCTGTAAGACACGTGCCTGAGAGTTTTCCAGAATCCTATTAGGCAGCTCAACTCATGATCCTCGGGAGACAGGGTACTAGGATTTCGCTCTTTTAGAAACTGGAATTTAAAACACACCCTTTCATTGTGAAGGAGGGATTATTCTAAGGGTAAACTATCTCTTGGAAGAAATGCAAGCTTAGACATTAGTCTCCTCATTTATAAGGATGAGACTTAGGCCAGCATCTTAGGGACCAAGAAGGCAGTCTTGCACAGTGGTTGGGAGCTGGCTACTGGAACCAGACTTGCACTGGAAACAGACTCCATCACCCAGTAGCTGTGGGAGCTGGAGTAGTCCCTTACTGAGAGGGGAATAGCCCACCTCAAGACTGTGAGGATCAAATTAGAGAATGCACATAAAGTACTCAGTGACTGGCAGATATTAAGGATGCGAACAATAGCTTATTTCTTGACCTTGTCTTCCTGGTAGAGTTGATGGATTCATGTTGAAACACGGGTAGTCCTCCATGGAAATCATCATACATACTTGCATGGTCCTGGGATGGCTGTTACTATAGAATAGGTTAAATGTAACTAGGCCACCCAGGTTTAAACCCATCACTCTCTTGATGGAAATCAATTCTAGGATGACCTAGACTGTCAAAAATAACTCTGAACAGAGATAATCTGCTTGAAACGATGCCAGCAGTGAGTATGGGACATCCTCAGTGTCGGTGGGTAGCTTCTGTCACCTTGTAGGTGATGTCGTACCTTCCGACAAGCCTCAGAAATGCACCCTCCTATTTTCTAAGTACAGCTTTATCCCACAGTACTACTTCGGACGTTCTTCACGGGGGGTTGGAGTCCTACATATTGCACTCATTTGTACAACAGGAATGTGGGTTGTTTCTTTTTACCCAGTATTATAATGAAGCCAGGACACTAATCAGATGTTAAAAAAAGAAAAAGAAAATCCCATGACATTTCAGACCTCATTCCTGATCTGAAAGGACTCACCACTGACTTGTAAAAACTTAAAAGCCCACGTTCCCAAATGACGCAGTAAATGTTGTTGGTCTTTAAGGGCTCAAGGTGGACACTGCAGGCAACAACTATGAATGGAAAAATCGTAAGTTGTAGACATCAAAGTAGGTCGTCGTCCTGGGTCACTGTGCCTTTGTTTTAGTCCCTTGATCCCTTTTCTCCTTCCCTTTCATGTCGTTCCTAACCCCCTCCCCCAAATGATCATCTGTGAGAGATTATCAATGACATTTTTTTTTCTTTTTAGGGAGTTATCGAAATTCAACCAGATCAGATGCAGGTAGGAGAACAAATTTAAGTTGCTTTCAGAGATCAAAGTCATCTTTGAGACAAAGATTAACATTTCATCTCTACTTCATCTCCAGACTGTGAACGCCATTTTGATCGTTATCATGGTCCCCATTGTGGATGCTGTGGTGTATCCTCTGATTGCAAAAGCCGGTTTCAATTTCACGTAGGTGACCGGTGGGTCTGCGTTGGGGCCAGGCTCCATCAGTGTTACGGCTTTGCAAATAGGCTGCGTTCTCTCAGCTTCTGGTACATCAGGGAAAAGAATTTCCGTCTCCCCTTCCCCAACGCCACCTATGTGATGGGGTTTTGTACAAGAATTCATAAACTAACGTTTGTGTGCTGACGGCTCTGAAAACCTGCCCTTAAAAAAAAGTGCAATTAACGGCAGCCTGAAAAAAGTTTTAATTAAGGTTTCTTTATATATGTAGATGATATAAATGTTCACTGCAATCCTGAATACTGCCTGAACTAGAGTTTATAGGGAGTCCTGGTGGTGCAGTGGTTAAGAACTCAGTTGCTAATCAAAAGGTCGGCCGGTGGAATCTACCAGGCGCTCCCTGGAAACCCTATGGGGCAGTTCTACTCTGTCCTATAGGGATGCTATGAGTCAGAATCGACTCGACAGCAACGGGTTTAGAGTTTACAGAATGAAAATGTAAAAATACAAAGGAGAAGCTGCTTTACATTTATACTCTTCGTCTTAGTCGTAAGTGATGGAGGGAGGGACACTTTGAACTCCATGTGTTTTGTAGAAAAGTTAGTTTTGGAGGGATTGGTGGGTAAGCAGTGTTTCTTTTGTGGGACTGTGGCTCTTTTGTGTGAGACTGGTTGAGATTCACTCTCCGTTTGTCCTGAATCAGCCCGCTGAAGAAGATGACAGTCGGAATGTTCCTGGCTTCCACGGCCTTCATAGCAGCTGCCATTGTACAAGTGGAAATTGATGTGAGTTCTCTTTGGATTCTCGAGCTCCCTCTCCCGGGGGGTTAGGTGGGACGTTGTCTTTGGATTCTCCAGCGCCCTCTCCCGGGGGGTTAGGTGGGACATTGTCTTTGGATTCTCCAGCGCCCTCT